ACTGCCAAAGCACTTCAGGGTTTTGGGGCAGGCTTCTTCCCCAAGCTATATCTCAAACTCCTTATGGTTTGGATTCTATAAAACAAGATTATTAGAGTAATTATATTGGCAATTGCCAGATTTGGGTTGGAACATTAACAAAAATAACACAAAGATCTGATTCAAAGAATGAGACATTTTAAAAAAGAGGTCAGAATGACTAAGTTTTCATCCAGCCACTAGAGCTGTAATTTAAAAAGTTTATTAGAAACCTAAGGACAGGAAATTTTTCTGGTCAACTTGATTGATGACTAAGACAAAGGAAACCTCTTTTGCAATCATATTCTTTATTGAGGGGTCCCAATGAAGGAGAATATTTGTAGCTCAAGGTTGAAATGGGGAGCCCTTGATGCTCTCCGAGCTTGGTTGTTTTCTTGCAGATGTTTCATTACCCAACATCATTAGTGCTAGTCTTTATTCTTCATTTTTCTGCATTCTCTCCCTTTTTTTGACATTGAAGCAGTATGCATGATTTCTCAATGTATGTCATTTCAATTGTGGGATAATGTCATAGAAACCCAGCAACTTGTCATTTTGGACTATCAAAATATTGCATGGATAGGGAGGAGAGAGACCTTGAAGAAAGGGAGATGATGGTGCAGGAGGAGGCTTCTAGGAGTCCCAAAGCAAAGCTCACGGGGCATCCATGTCCCATGAGCCTCTTTTTTGAGTCCTCCGAGCTCTTCCCAGCATTCTTGTTTTGAGACTGGCTATGCCACTATAGCAGCCATTTTTTCTAATTGGCAAGCACCTTTATTCATGGCACCCATAGCATCTGCAGAAGATTCTTCACATGTTGTGCCCACTGGCTCAAAATGTTGAGAATCCTGGCATGGTGAATACATTGATCCAATCTCCCAGGACTATAGATCATGATTTGTTCAAAATCCAAACATTGGTCTAATGCCATGAGCGGCTTTAAACTTTCTTATTTTAATTTACACCATCAGCAACAGTTTTGAGACCCTCTCACTTCTTCGGGGAAACCCTGAAGGATATGTTGACAAGGAACACAATCATTTCTGTGAACCCCAGACCGTGTTAGCTTTTATCTCCCTTTCCTCCACCTCCCCCCTCACCACCATCCCTAGATTTAACTCACAACCTCCATATGTCTGTCTGCCACACATCGGAAAAGAACGCAGCCACTTTTGGGGCCGGCCTAGCAGTGCAGCCGTCTACAAAGCTTCAACATGTTGGCAAGATGTTATCACAGCTCTGCCTTTCCTGTGAATGGAGATTAACACCATTTGCTGAATGGGAACAGCTGTGCCTGAATTAGGAACTGCTATTCCCAGAGAGAGAGCGTAGAGAAACCTGGTGACAAAGCTAAGAAGGTGAAGAGTTAGGATGCCTGGGTACCAGCCACAGCTGAGTGGGGGAGAAAAAGAGGACTGAAGCACACGGCAGGGCAGGAACGGGGAGAACCCTTTCTGCTCATCTTAGGGAGCCAAGAGGTGGGGCAAAGACAATGAGGTCCCAAAGCACTGCCTGCTGCACTCCCACGGCTGCCTGCTTGTGAAGCCCGCACATGGGTGTGTATGTGCGTGCGTGCAAGCATACATGTGAGTCATAGCTGCTTTTTGAGATGCACTTTCTCTCTCCTCCCTCCACCAGACCAACAGCTTCTTGCTCCTGCTCTAAACCTGAATTGCACAACCCAAGGGAGATGGTTCTGGGCATGGTATGATCTGCAGAGCAACCCTTTCTCAGGCTGCTAGGGAGGAGAAAATACACCAAAGGAAAGCTGTGAGCGTGTGCATGGGAAACAAGCAGAGGGCCTGGTTCACACATCTCATTGAGCTAGGTTTAAATAAGTCAGATTCCATAGTTTACGGAAGAACTGCTCACACAACCTGCCATGTCAAAAGGAACCCAGTACTGCAGGGGTGTCAAACTGGGAAGTCACGTGACGTGTCACAACCTATCGTGACTTTTTTCCCACATTGCCGGCAATGGGGTGGGCGCGGTTTCGCCGTGATGCATCCTGCCCGTGGGCCGGCAGTTTGACACCCCTGCAGTACTGAATCTGGATCAAAGCAGGATGTGTAGGTGCAACTACAGATAGCCCTTGACTTACAACAGTTCATTTAGTGACCGTTCAAAATTACAATGGCAGTGAAAAACATGACTTACGTCCATTTTTCAGACTTACCACAGTTGCCCTTGGTCAAGTGATCAAAATTCAGACACTTGGCAACTGATTCCTATTTATGACGGTCACAGCATCCTGGGACACAATCACCTTTTGTAACCTTCTGACAAGCAAAGTAAATGGAGAAGTCAAGTTCACTTAACAACTGTGTTACTACCTGCAGGGATTCATTTAACAACCGTGGCAACAAAGGTTGTAATATGGGGCAAAACTCACTTAACAAATGTCTCACTTAACAACAGAAAGTTTGGCCTCAATTGCGGTCATACGTCGAGGACTACCTGTAAAGCTGAACGACTGGATGCAACTATTTTTCCCCATAAGTAACGGGCAAACTTTGGTGTTTCTTCTCCTTTCTGTTTGAAAAGCAGCCGGCTGGAGGGTAGGCTCACCAGAACCAGCTGGCAGAAGATTATCCAATATGTTGTGTTTCCCCTTATTTCCAACACTCTTTTCTGAAGCAGCCCCCAGTGTCTGAAATTGGCCTCGTCTGTATTTTAAAAAAGAGGTTTAAGCAGAATACACAAGAAATACAGGAATAGAGAAAGAAGTCGATAGTAACTTCCATCAGCTCCAGTTAATATGGCCAATGGTCGGAAATGATGGGTGTTGGAGTCCTCATTATCTGATAATATATGATAACAGGCCTCCTGTATCATCCTCAGTTTTCTCCAATAGGGTGAGAGGGAGGAATAAAAGTGATAAGGTCACCCTGCCCATCTAAACCATTAAATAATTGTGCTCCTTTTCAATTTCAGCTACTTACAGGTAGACATATAATCACAATTGGGAATGGAAGGTCCATTACTGAGGTGGCCATTGAGAAGGCCGTGCCTGATTTTATAGTCTTTTTTCCATAGCTGTTAAATGAATTGCACAGTTGTTAAGTGAATCTGGTTTTTCCCATTGATTTTGGTTGTTGGAAACCAGCTGGGAAGGTCACAAGTTTCATGAACCTGGGACATGCAACAGTTGTAAATATATGCTAATTACCAAGTGCTTTATAAAAGTAAACACAAGGACAGGTGTCAAGGATGAAACTTTGGCAGCTATATGCCTCTGCCTTTCAACTTGCCTTTAGATTAAGGGGGGGAGGTATTACTTTCAAGTGGGTAAGGAGAGCGGAAGACTGTGGGAGCCTGAAGCCTTGTCAAGGACACCAGAACAGGTGTGGATTTGAAGCAGACGGTTCCCATAACAAAGTGAACTTCTTGGTACACAAGATGTTGGGGGTTTGACTGGGAAAATTATTGTTTAAGTCTAGGAATTGGTGTTGGAACCTCAGAGTTAGTTTTACTTCGACATAACCATGCAGTGTATTCAATAAACAGTAAACTTTTCGGAAACGGAATGAAACGAGTTTTATTTGGATTCTTGACGTGGATGTTGACAACAGGCCATAAGTCACTTTTTTTCCAGTCCTGTCACAACTTTGAATAATCGCTAAATAAATGGTTACAAGTTTAGGACTACTCCTATTTCAATCCTATGAATGGTACAAAAGCCTTGCTGTTTCCTTTTGTTTCACCTCTTCAATAAAATAAAAGATGGGGGGGGGGCGATAGAGAGTGCATAGCATAAGGTGCCCTCTCTTCCTTTTAGCTAGTATGATAAAAGTTATACAACCACACATCTCTGGCAAAAATGATGTTTTTTCCTACACAATCTAACACAAAAAGGCTGCAGGGGCAAACAGGGCAATAGAATTGCACCTCAAAAGTGTCTTGTACATTTTATTTATTGGAATTATATCCTACCTTTCAATCAGGAAATTGAGGAGGCATGTGCAACACTCTTGTTCTCCCTCACAACAAGGTGGGGCAGAGAGTGACAACACCCTTGATTTTTAAAACATAAATATGACACAAACATTGTCAAGGGAAATGACTAAACAGGGCCCATAAATCTCTTGCTCGCCTGTGCCTAAATAGGAGCTGTTCTTTTGGTTGCACCTCTCCTTCCATAACCAGGCTCTTGTGTTTCCAAAAACATGTGCAGCAGACAAAAATCCAACAGAAACAACAGAATGCAAGTGATATAACAGCATGGCTGTTGGGTTTCTGCTTAACATGCTCCTTAAAAATCTAACAGCCCTGCCAGAAAGATTAATCTGATAGCAGTACCAATAACTGTGCACAATACCTACATCTTTGTGTGGCCAACAAGCAGTATTTATCAAATTCCAGCGTGCGGCAAAAGGTACAATGCCAGGACTCCTGAGAACTAGATTCCAGGCTTGTTGCCAGTAATATGATCATGCTGGATTGGCTCGCTACGAGGTAAGCACCGTACGCAGAAGGAGCAAGTTGAGCTACGGCAAAAAATGGGCAGCGATATAGATATATAGCCTTCCACTGCAAGGCACCGGGCAGAGCCATCTGCTCAGGGTACAATTATGCCAGGGATTGGATGGTGCAGCCAAATTCAACTAGTTTCTCAATAGCTTTAAGGAGAAGGCTGGCAAGAATCCCTCCATTATGCCTCTCTCCCCAAAGAAAACATAGCTAGAATTCTCAACTCTGATGTTTACACCCTTTGTCAGGTCCGGAATCTGTTGGAAATACTCTGCCTTATAGCTCAATTTTTTTTCTCACCCTGGAAGGCCTCATGCATGTAGTTCTTGCCCCAGCGCTGCAGGTAGGATATTGATACCTAGTACTAAAAGTAGGTACACATGGGCAAAGCAATAACTCCCCCTGGAAAGCAACACCCGTCTTGTTCCATACAGTAAGAAGACCAAGTAGCTAAATCTCTTTCGCTCAATCTCCACAGAGAAGAGAAATAACAGAATGCTTGGCAGCCAGGATAGATATCTTAAGAGGTTTATTCTCAACATACAAGCAAACGTTAAAGTGATCATTCCTCTTCTTCAGGAGGCAGCACAATCTTGCTAGGGTCATAGTAATAAGAGGAAATGACGGGCAGTCCTTGCTCAGTTCGCCGCTTAACTCTTCGTTCAGCTTCCTGGCGAGCCCAAAGATGCTGCCTACAGGGGAAAAAAGAAAGAAGTTCTGTGAATCAGTGAATTATGAATCAGTGAATTATGAAGAAGTATCATCACCCAGAAGCAGTTATGCAGATGTTGCATTCAAGTGGGCCTTTGATCCTGCTCCAGGGAAAAGGGCCACAAGAACTGCTAGGTGTTACCGGTAATTTGCCTTGGTGAGCAGAGAAACAGGATGTATATTGGGTAATACGCATGGAATAAGCTAGAACATTTCTAAAAAATAAATAAATTAGACACTGCATTACAGAAATGTTCTTTATTTCATACTGATGCAAATGTGCCTATTACATCATTTGTTCAAGCTGTGTGCTTTAACTGGAATCAGTGTTTTTGTTGCTATAGATAAGACAGGAAGAAATGACAGAATTGGTGTTTCTTTTGGAAGAAGGAAAAATGGAATAGTGGACAAGTTACCTTCGAAATTCCCAAAAAGAATGGAATTGGCAAGCCACGGGCAAAAATCCATTCCTCAAAGTGGAGACTTTTTATGACTCCGAGGACTTGAAGAAATTTGATTCAACTAAAACTGCCCGAGACGTAGAATTTAGCTTGACTAGAGACTGAAACCAAGTGTGCTCGTGTCTTCGGATCAAAAAGATATAAAGACTCTTAAAAGGAACAGAAAGGCCACGTAGCACTCATACTGACCCATCCAAGTCCCACCAGTTACCAAGGACTGTTTTTTTCAGTGCTCTCTCTTACACAGCAGGCTCTAGCAGTGCTTTTAAGCAACACTCCCAGCTGTTTTGTCCGTAGCATCTTTGACATGCCTTCGGCAGACGAAGTTAAGAGTATGAGCCCAATCAAAGCCACAGCATTAATTACACTGTGCCGAGATGAAGCGCAAAGCTGCTTGCCTTAATTAGTGCTTCGTCAAGAAGTCATCAACCTGCTGCTTAGCTGGCGGGAGCGAAGACACAATCTCCTTCTTTTTTTCTTTTTTTTACACAGTTCTGTTCCAGTTCACGGGATTTGGGGAAGGGCCACCCACAGAAAGATCAAAATAACAAGTGGAAGGGAGATCTCAGGTTGGATTTTTCCTTAATTCCGTCTGCCCCAGCATTTTCTACTCCACGTTTGGACCATTCCAGATCACTTGGTGCTTGAGTTTCCTACTTGAACTTAATCAGTTCAACCAGAAAGAGCGAGTCTGACATGAGATGCCCAAGTGGCTAATTTGAGCCACACAATTTGTATGTATATATATTACATAAATCTAAAATCTAAAGAGCCAGCCATCTGCTTTCATGAATTAGAAAGCAATAATGGGGCCTGGCCTAGTTTATAAACGCCTGCTGCTCCCTTCTCTCCTTCAAGTGGAAAAGCAGGAACTCAAGCAAATCTAACAGAGGGAAGGAGAGAGGATGCTTTACATTCTTCCGTCTTGGATATCACGCTATTCTAGTACAACAAAGCCAACTCTAAGCCAGGGTGTATCCACTTTTCTTCTCAACACGTTTCATCTCCCCAACCCAATAAAGAACTCTTCTTAAGCATGCAAATACACACATCCTACGCATAATTCACAGTTAATTCAGTCTACGAAGAATTAGCTGGTTTGTCCAACTGGAACATGACTCTAAACCCTGTCATGGGAGAAATTTCTATTTCCACTCGTTGCAGGCTCCCCTTCTTCTCAGGCAACCAGCAAATAGACAATGGGATTCACGTCATAAAGGCAAAGGACCCCTACCTGCTTCTGCTACCTTTCTACCTTCTACCTCTGTCTGTCCCTCCAACTTTAACACATCGTCTTTCTGCAGTAAAATCCTCTTCTGCCCTAGAGCTTCATTTCCTACCCAGCTTTGCTAAATTGCTTTTCTCAGGGGATTCCCCAGCTTGACCTGCTCGGGTTCCCCAGCAAGATGAGCGTAGATACTAAGCAGCTGGCAGAAATCTCTTACTGGTGTAGAACATACTGCTCTACAGGCATTTGAAGAGAAGTTGAACTTAAGTTTTAATTTTTAAGTTGTAGTTGAAAGTGAAAAAGAAGGACCAAGGGGGACATGATAGCAGCGTTCCAATATTTGGGAGGCTGCCATAAAGAAGAGGGGGTCAACCTATTTTCCAAAGCACCAGAGGGCAGGTCAAGAAACCATGGATGGAAACTAATCAAGGAGAGAAGCAGCCTGGAATTAAGGAGAAACTTCCTAACAGTGAGGACAATTAACCAGTGGAACAGCTTGCCTTCAGAAGGTGTGGGCGATTCATCAGTGGAGGTCTTTAAGGAGGGACTGGACAGCCACTTTTCTGGAATGGTATAGGGCAGTGATGGCGAACCTTTTAGAGACTTGAGTGCCCAAACTGCAACCCAAAACCCACTTATGCATCGTCGAGTGCCGGGTGGGTGTGGCCCATTGGCTGGGCGTTGCCAATTGGGTGGGCGTGGCTGCGGTGGTAATGGCAGACTGGGTGGGACTAAAAAGTTCAATCAATCAATTCCAACTTTGCAAGATCTTTTTTTTCCCCGTGAGAAGTTGAAATTGACTGATTGAACCTTTTTTTTTTTTTTGCATATGGTGGCGGAGGCCTCAAGCGAAAAGGTTTTATAAAACCCAGCTGAAGGCCTAGGACTGGGGCGACGGCGCGTGTGCCCACAGAGAAGGTTCTGAATGCCGCCTCTGGCACCCGTGCCATAGGTTCGCCACCACTGGTATAGGGTCTACTGCTTGAGGGGGGGGGGTTGGACTAGAAGACCTCCAAGGTCCCTTCCAACTGTGTTCTTCTGTTCTCTTCCATCTTGTATCTTGCCCCCAACTTGCTCTCAGCAAGCTAAATATGCCCAGTGGCCAATAAAGCTGGAAAACTCTTGTTCCTTTGAGAGCCCTAGTTTAACAGGAAGGATTCGGCTACAGTTGTCATTATGAAAAGGGTGGAGAACATGTTTTGTGGGCAATTTATTTATTTATTTATCTGCCCTTATTAATTAATTACTTAATTAATTCCAAATATTCAAGGTGGCGAACATATCTAATATTTATTTCTCCTCCTATTTTTCTCACCACAATCTTGTGAGATGGGTTGGGCTTGCTTAGAATGACTGGCCCGAAGTTACCCAGTCGGCTTTCGAGTGCTCTGGCATTACACAATGGTGGATCCAGCCACTGGGGCTTGTAAGCCATCCTTTGTAATTCAGAATGTTATGCTCTGTCAACAAAGCAAGATTAAAATAAACCACGGATGTTTTAACCATGGTTTGTTTTAACCTTGATCTGCTGACAAATCATAAGGATGACCAAACGTTTGGTGGCAGGAAGTTAACATGGGGGGGAGGGCATTTAAAAGCAACAATAGATGGGACAATGATGCAAAATAGGCTGAAATGTTCATTTGAAAATCATTTTGGAGAGGGAGCGGTTGCTACTCCATTTTAACTACCTGAAGCTTCTTTAAGGGCTTGCACTACTATTTTTATGCTATGTGCTTTAAAATGACAGATAACTGTATTATTTACGTTAGCAGTCGTGCCTCTGAAATTCAGATAGTCCTTGACTTAGGACCACAAGTGACCCCAAAATTTCTGTTGTTAAGTGAGTTTGCCCCATTTTACAACCATTCTTGCCACAGTTGTTAAGTGCATCACTGCAGTTATTAAGGTAGTAACATGGATGCTACGTGAAGCTGGCTTCCCCCATTGACTTCCCCCATTGTCAGAAGGTCGCAAAAGGTGATCAGGTGACCCCCAGGACACTGCAACCATCGTAAATATGAACCATTCGCTAAGCATCCACATTCTGATCGCGTGACCATGGGGATGCTGCTATGGTCGTAAATGTGAAAAATGGTCACGAGTCACTTTTTTCAGTGCTGTTGTAACGTCAAATGGTCACTAAGTGAATGGTTGTAAGTTGAAGACCCCCTGTGGTTGAAAGGATCTCCATGGAGCTGCAAGGGATTTCGTAAGGGCAATATCTTCAAATATCAAATATTAACCCTTCGAAGGCAGAAACACACGTCACAGGAAGACAGAACTCCACTTTATTAAGGTCGGCTATAATAACAGAATTTTGCAAGTCTGGTGGGGCTTTTTTTCCCCTCCCTCTTACATTCCAGGGAGTCAGGGAGGCCCCAACTGGACTCTCTTCTTAATATTCTCTCCCTTCCCAGGACTTAAGGAAGGCTTCTTCGTTTACATAACAAAGTATTTCTCAATATTTGCTTCAAAGTCATTTCCCACTGCCTCCTGACTCCCTACCCCAAAGGAGGTACAGTATACTTATTTTTTTTTCTAATTAACTCACAAACCACCATGTTGCCAATATTGGCATTTCTACTTTTTTAAAAAAAAAAATAAATAAATTTGAGCATAAAAGACATACAAAGTTCTACAAAGGAATTATTGAGTCTGCCATTTGCACCTCTATAACTGTCTGGTTTGGCACCGCAACCAAACAAGCCAGATACAGACTTCAACGGATAATTAGAACTGCAGAAAAAAACAATTGCTACCAGCCTGCCTTCTATTGAGGACCTGTATACTGCACAAGCCAGTTTATGCCACCTCCTTGACATAAACTGTTTAAACCTCTTCCCTCAAGACGACGATGCTATAGAGCAGGGGTAGTCAACCTTGGCTCTTTTATGACTCGTGGACTTCAATTCCCAGAATTCCTGAGCCAGCTTAGGTGGCTCAGGAATTCTGGGAGTTGAAGTCCACGAGTCATAAAAGAGCCAAGGTTGACTACCCCTGCTATAGAGCATTGCACGCCAAAACAACCAGGCACAAGGACAGTTCCCCCCCATGCCATCACTCTGCTAAACAACTAATTCCCACAACACCGTCAAACTATTTCTTTTCTTTCCTATTACCTATTTACTTATCCTCTTATGGCTATAACTTTGTTGCTTGTATCTTACGATTTCTATTAATTGTTTTATTTAGAATTCTAGTGTGATTTATGTTGATTGCTTATTCAGTATCCTTTGACAATCACTAAGTGTTTGTATCTTATGATTTCTGATGAATGTATCTTACGATG